CAATAAAAGTATGCCGCAGTTCCCCTCCAAAAATAAAAATTAAAAAAAGAGGGGCCTTGGGAATCTTGTAACTTTCAGGAGCTTCCTGGGTTCGATAAGTTTTATTCACCTTCTGTCCCTTGCACGTTACTTTCTGGGCCTTACTTCTTGAGCCTGCTAAGCCTCTCTCAGGAAAGGATGCTGCACAGGAAAGGTACCCAGCACTCTGGCCCTTCCTTCGGTGTTTATATATTTTCCACTAGGCTCCACTAGGTCTCCCCGAGTCACTGGCTAGGATAGGAGAATCAGACATGTGTTCTCTACTGTGGAGTGAGCATTAAGTCTAACCAGAAATTAGTCAGTTGTGTCATTATTTCATTCGTAGACATATCTTGCCTGGCATGCTGGTTATGCTACACAGGATCCATAACTTATCAGAATGCTTAATAACAACATCAGCAAGAATAATGTTTTTTTAGCATCTTAAAAAGCATCGACCAGGGAGAAAGCCTCAAGAATTCATCCCTAGCTCAATTTCTATTTGCAGTGTCTTTAGGAATAAAGGCGATTCATCATTTGTTTCTAGCAGGCAACCCATAGCAGTTTCAATAGGCTTTATGGTTTGTGGAGCCTCAAGAGCCTCCTGTGCTTTCAACTCACAGGGAAGTTTCCCACCTTTGTCCCTAAGGTCTTCACCCAGCAGCCTTACAGCCTCTAGGAGTGCCTGTTCCCAGGCACAGAGACTTTCAAACCCTTTTATTTATTTTTCTTTAGGGTGTTTTTTTGGTTTTTTTTTTTGTTTGTTTGTTTGTTTTTTGTTTTTGTTTTTGTCATTCAAACTCCTAAAAAACCTTAGAGTAAAGGTTAGGATTATGCAAAGAAGCATTTTAACACAGGGAGCAGGATCTCCGATGGCATCCATCATCCATCCCAATTGTCAATTGGACATGAGTGGCTAAAGAGATATAAACAAAGTAACCATTTCTTGTAAACAATGAAGTGTTTGCAAGGTGTGACATTATATGAAAAGAGCTCTTATGAGTCATTTCAGTGGAAAGGCAATATTGTGGGGCTAGAGAGATGGCCTGCTGGTTAAGAACCCTTGCTGGTCCTGTAGAGGACTCTTAGCATCCACGTAATTATCGGCAACCCTTCTGTAACTCTAGTTTCAAGGAGCCCCACACCTTGTTTTGTCCTTCATGCGCACAAGTTATGCATGTGGTAAACAGTCACACAATAGCTGCCCCAGCACGTTTTTATTACAATTCTTAATTCTAGCAGAGACTCTCTGAGCTCCACCTCTCCAGCATTTCCAGTGCTTCTACTAGCCTTTATTTTCTTTAGATCACTGAATCATGACTGCCATATTTCATTGAATTGTCCCATTTTCCTTGATGATGAGGTTTTAAACAGGTACCGGTTTGAATGAGCCATACAATACTGTCTTGTCTAAATATGTCAATGGTGGCCTATAGTGGCTTTGAAAGAAGACAGCACTTGCCTATCATGTGAAATGCACTAGGCTTAAGACACAGTTAAAATATTAATTTATCAATTAAATAAGATGAGACAAGCAATCAACAACCCCTGATATTCTTAGAGTCCTGAATAGTAAACCCTGATTTCTGAGACGGAGCATGACCAAACAGGCAAAGTTGTGGTTTATCACTTCATGGATCTAGTTTTAAACATTGGCTTTGTATTTACTCCAAAAATTGAGTTTCAAGCAGAACTCAGTGGAACGCATGTGTAACTGAGCACTTAGGAAGTAAAGGAGTTCACGAAGGTCAAGAGTTCAAGGTAATTTTCAACTCCTTATTAAATTAAAAGCCGTCCTGACTACAGGAGAGAAATCTTGTCTCAAACAAACAAATAACAGAGCATACCAGCTTCCTTGATGAATCTGATTAATATTTATTGAATATCAATTTGATGACAGGAACTACAAGTACTGCAATTCTGCATGATTCAGATGATACCTGTTCTGTATTCAGGGTCCTTAAAATCTATCAGCTGGATGGAAAAATATGCGGTAAAATAAACAGATGCTAGCAGGGGCTGTAGAAGTTCATCTTGATTGGCTGCTTGATGAGACTGAGAGATAGCTGGGAGATCAGGCAAGCAGGCTTCTTTACTGCTGCCTGTGAGGCGTGTCTGGGGGGCCTTTTCAGAGAGGATTAACCAGTGGGAGACTTGTCCTGAATATGAGCAGCAGCATCCAAGAGGCTCAGTTGAAATAAAAATGGAAAACAAAGCCAGCCAGCATGTAAAGACCCATTCTTCCTCAGTGAGCCCATCTACAGCTGTCACCCAGAGACTTCGGGCTCCAGCTTCAACAGCCACTCAGTGTTTCCTCAGATCAGACACTCTCCAGGAAACTTAACCCTGGGGCTCTGTCATTAGTGTCCCTGTCACAGAGATTTTGGCCTCTTGAATGGAGCCGCTACTGACTTGATCTCCACTATGCAGATACCTATCACCAGACTGTCTACTCTCAGATCACGTGAAGCACTCTAGGAAATCCCCTACCACAATTATATGTAGATTCTACTGCTTCTGTTCTCCTAGAGAATCTCAATACAGATGTTAAACAGTCTTTCAGGTCATTAAAATTATCTTCAATAAGATGTAAAACCCTTAAAATAAGATGTACAGCTTGGTCAGCCTGTGGGTCCCCTAACAATGGGAGTAGGGGATGTCTCCGGCTCTGTTGCCTGCCTCTGGACTCCTTTCCCCTAGCTGGGCTGCCTTGTCTGGCCTCAGTGGAAGAGGATGTACTTAGTCCTACTGTGACTTGGGGTGTCGGGTGGGTTGGTACTTCCTGGGGAATTCTCCTTCTCTGAGAAGAAGAAGAGGAGGAATGGGGAAAGAGGGTGTAAGAGTGGGACGTGGATGAGAGCAGGGAGGGGTGGGATCAGCCTATGAAGTGATTAAATACCCAAATAAATGAAAAAAATAAGATTTAGGACGATACAGCTGAAGAGTTTTGATCTTATTAAGTCATTAAGAATGACTTAATAAAATTTGAGTTAAAAAAGTGACTTTGGCTAGTAGATATATATTGGAGTATGTGTGAAAATGACAAGATATAGAGAGAACAAATAGGAATGTCCTATATTAACCTAAATAAGAGATAATACAGGTCTGGGAAACAACCATAGCATGTACGATGGGAATGAGAAAGCAAATTGATTCAAGAAACAGCTAGGTGTCCTATGAGAATGCAGGAATTGACTGAGTATGGGTAAAGACAAGAGAAGTATCAGGGCTGGCTCCAGAGAGTAAAGTCCTGGGAAATAGTGTAGAGTAGATTGGTGACAAGCTACAAGTGGGATCGGGACATTGGAATTTAATTGTCAGGTTCTGCTTGGGACACACTGGGAGTGTGTTGGTGGGACCAATGCAGACACATTTCATCAGCTGATGGAATTACAGGCTTGAAGTTCAAGAGAAAGGTCTGGCCAGAAGCTGAAAGTGAAGCATTCTCACAGAGCGCTTGTTCGCAGTGTAGCCAGGGACTCGGTGTCAGCCAGGGAGCAGAGCAAGAGCTACATGGAAACTACAGGATTCCTCAAATTCCTTTTATTTTAACATCAAAACCACTACATAAAAGACACTTTATTACTGAACTCACATATGAACTGAATCATACATATGTTAATTGAATTATTAAGTGGATTTCAATAATTTAGCATCATAGCAGGAGGAACATTAACATACAGACTTTGTACAGGATTGGTATTCTGCAAGGGGCATAAAAACTTCATAACAGCCTTCTACAAACACCGTAAGCAAAGTAATGTCTGCGTCAAACATAAAAAAGCTTATCTTCAGATGGCTGTGCAGAGTCCAACAGAAAATATGTGTTACAATTATATGATACACTTCAGACACTTCCTAGACCACCTTAGACTTATTTGTACTTTTGTTGTTTTTTGCTCCTTTCTGGTAAGAAAAGTTCACTTTGAGACCAGTCTTCTATCTCCACACTGAAAGGAATTTAATAACAGTGTTCTGAATTTTAAATACAGACACAAAATTAATATCATAACCAAGCATAAGACTGCATTGACTATTTCTAAAATGTAAGGAATATACTCATAAAGTCTGCCATATTCACAGAAAATATGCCTACACTGAAACTACAGCATCCAGAGGAGTGCAACTATGGAACATCTCATTTTCTTATATTTCTGTGCAAACAAAATCGAGTTTTAATTATCTTTGGTTGGGTAGTTTTGAAATAAGAGCTAAATTCATAAAATCATTAAATGAAAATTGCTAATGCTCCCCTATTTATAGATTTGCTTTTTTGTATATATATGTATATGTATATATATATATATATATATATATATATATATATATATATATATA